GAAGACTCTGGAGGCCGGGCAGGGTGGTCGCAACGGCGGCTAGGAACAGGCGCGACAGCTAGGGACGGCCGCGGCGGTGGCTAGGAACGGTCGCGATGGCTAGGAACGGCCGCGACGGCAGCTAGGGGAGGCCGTGATAGCTAGGAGCGGCCGCGAGATGGCTAGGAACGGTCGCGGCGACGGCTAGGAACGACCGCAACGGCGGGTAGAAACTGCCGCGACGGCGACTAGGAATGGCCGCGAGGGTGGGAAACGGCCGCGACGGCGACTAGGAACGGCCGCGACGGCGGCTAGGAACGGCCATGGGACGGCTAGGAAGGGCCGCGGCGGCAGCTAGGAATGGCTGCAACGGCTAGGAACGGCAGTGACGGCGACTAGGAACGGCCGCGACGGCTAGGAACGACTGCGACGGCAACTAGGGGCGGCCGCGACGGCGGGTAGGAACAGCCGCGTCGACTAGGAAGGGCCACGACGGCAGCTAGGAACGACCGCGATGGCTAGGGGCGGCCGCGACGACGAGGAACGGCCGCGACGGCGACTAGAGACGGCCGCGACGGCGGCTAGGAACGGGCGAGACGGCAGCTAGGGGCGGGCGCGACGGCGAGAGACGGGCGCGACAGCGGCTATGGCCTAGGGCGGAAGCTCGGGCGGGCTAAGGGGAAAGGGACCTAACCTACTATGATACCATATCAGAATGAGTAAGTGACGACATCAGCAAGCAGCCCATAATACTGGAAGACCAACATGGCACACACTCCCAACTAAGCATCAAACAGAGAGGCTCGCAGTGCGTCACACACGTTCATCAAGAAGCACAAACCGAAGAGGCACAACTATCCACACACCGCTTCAAAGACGCACAAAACAGAGAGGCACACACACCATGCAGGAGAGATTGCAAAGAATCACAACACACAGAGGCATACACACCCACACACATGCTCATACAATCACAATCTAGAGAGGCACACAAACCCACGCCCACACAAACAACATCACTCACACATGGCACGCACAAGACATAGGGGAAGGTGTTTATAAGGGGACATTGAATGCATGGGAGATATGGAGAGGTACACAGAGAGGATTTAAAAGGTCCTCATGATCTCCGCTGCGCCATCAAAGCCGTCCATCACAGCCGTTGCTTGCAGAAGTCGTTCACGGCTGATGGCGGTGTCCGCAGTGTCTCTGTCGTTGCTACAACTGGCTGAAGCACGAGGAGATGGAGCGTAGTTCAGGTCGATGCTGTACGTCCTGCGCGGCTTCAGGCTGGTCCTCTTGAGGCGTTCAATGACATCAGCGTTTCGGATGTCGAACGGCTCCTTGAGGTAGCATGGACGGATCCGCGTCGCCCTTGCATAAGCGATGAGCAGATCCGTCGCTAGGTGCCGAACCTGCCGCATTGCCCTCGCGCGCTCAGACAGTTCGATGACGAAGGCAGGCTCCCCTCCCGTCTGGCGCACTGGAGGGGGTTCGGTGGAGAGAGGATCGACACCCTCGGGCTCGCACGTCGGGTGGGTCTCGTCGATGCGAGTGAAGTCCTCGGCGGAGAGAGCGTCGGCACCGAACGCGAACTGGTCAATCTGTGATCCCACCATCCACAGTTCTTCTGTCTGGTCGCTTGGGTCGGAGCTCTCGTACATGAGGTGCGGGAGGATCCGACTCCAGCTGCGGGGCAGTATCTTGGCGTGGTGCCAGCACTGCTGCACGGTGTCTTGCTCAACACTGCCCCATGCATCGAAGAGCCACTGCACTGTTTGCCATGCCTTCGCCTTCTTCGTCGCCTGTAACGCAGGTGACACCGGGAGTCCCATAGCTTCCACAGCTCATGTAGCCACTTGGATCGGAACTGCCGCTGGACGGTCGCGATAATGCCCTGGTCCAAGGGCTGACAGTATGCCGTGGTGTTGGGGGGGAGAGACGATTCGGACATTGCTGAGCTTCCGCGAGCGGAAGCCACAGACATCCTCAGTGGTAGCGGTGGGAGAGAGTAGGTTATGAGAGGAGGCGTTGTCCACCAAGACAACGATCTGCCTCTGTTCGGCAAACATGCAGGCGTTCACTGACTCAAAAAAAGCGGTGACGATCTGTAGGCGGGGGGCGGGGGGAAGGGGGGAGGAGAGAACAATGAAACCACACATGAACGTCTGATCAAGTATCGTGTAGACAGACCTGCGGTTTGGAGAGGTAGTAAAGGAAACTCACGCACATGGAAAACGAAACATCACTCACTTCGGAAGTCATCTAGCCCTTGGTGTTTTGGCGCCAGTAGACGTACGGCTCGGGGTCGAAGCTGTTAGCGTTGAAGTCAGTCGGCCGGCGCACTTTGGAGATGACGAGAGGACGATACATGCTGGATCCGTCTGCGTTGCATAGAAAGGCCACCGTGATTCGATCTTTTGCAGCCTTGCGACCGACCGGCGAACCATCCGACCAGGTACGACGAGGCTGCTGACCCGGGAAGAGGGCAGTCTCATCCCAATTGTAAAGATCACGCGGAATGACGTCGATATGCTCAATGAGCTCCGGCATGCGCTGCCTTCACAGCTCGACAGCTGTCTTGTCTGCGTCGAACGCCTCGCCCTTGTGTGCGAGGTTACAGAATCCCATGCGATGCATGGCGCGGTGACACCAGTTGATCGAGCATTCGAAAGTGTCTGGGATGCCACACTCAGTGCGCAAGTCCAAAGCCTTCTGTCGAATAATCGACAGAGTGAGAGGGATGCCAGCGTCTTCGGCTCCTTGCACCCAGGCCTTCAGTGCTCTCTCCAAGTTAGGGAAACGACCCTTCCGCAGGCGGATGGCATTTTGTGCTGCAGCAGCGGCTTTCCATTTGTCAGCCTGGCGAACAATCCTCCCCATAGTGCTGCAGTCAAGAACAATCCCAAACCTCGTGAAACACCAACGGGCGAGATCCTCATGGCGCCAAGATTGGTGGGTTTCCGCCTGCCGACAGATTTCTTGCTTCATGTCGAGCGAAATCTGGGCCCTTCTGTGCAGGCGAGGCAGGCGACGGGAGCGAGGGGCAAACATGTTGTCAGTTAGGCGAAAGCGGAGATGGATGGGGTAACAGTGTGTGAATGGAGGTCGTTCGAATAGACGTGGCTCAAACCCACGCATTTGAAGTTCGTGGAGCACGCCTGTGAACTGGGCTGGCGAACGCTGACGTGTTCTTTGGTTCATTCATTCGAACAAAGGAATCTGTTCATGCTAGAAACTTCCGTGTCTACGTGGCGTGTTGTCAGCTCGTTGGCTGACGATAAGCCTTCTAGTGACTTCGCTAGGCTGTTGTTTTTCGCTAACGTAATCTTCTGGACGAATCCTATTGGTTGCCGCGTAATCAGTGCGCTATCTTGTACAGTAGACTCTTGTGGGTCGTTTCATGTTGAACAGCGATTGTGCACATACACTAGGGAATAAGAGCAGGGTGTATACGGCAATGGGTCCTTAACCTTGATTGTGCGACAAGCACGGATGTCTGTAAGCGGGATTATGTGTATTGGTCGTTCCTGCTCTCTCCTCGCCACACTTCACAGAAGGAGAGAACGACCGAAAACCACGTCTTTACGTTTTGAATTCCTTCAGGAGGATACAATCCGCACATCCCCTCTCGGTGCGCGTCACGAATACCTTTGGGAGGCGTGAAATCCCCGGATACGAAATTGTGCAAAGTTAAACGTTTTTTATCTTTACCCGGGTTTGGTTGAAATAACCCATGGTCCCCGTGACATTTTGTTTCGTAGCGGGGCATGGCTATTAAATCTTGATTTAACGACAACAAGCGACAATAACGATAGATCCGGGCAGGTTATCTAGCAAGAAAAAGGCTAAAACCCGTAGGGGCCCGGCATGTCATAAGGGATGACATCAACCCGAAATTCGCGGCCCTTTTGTGGGTTTTGGGTTGGTGTCATTCCGCCTGGGTTTTTGCTTTTGCATGCGGATTTATCGGCCAGTTTTAATTATTATGCTGCAAGCTCCAGCAACGCGTGACCGACATATTTTGGCGCATGCGCTGCTCAGTTGCTGTCACGTGCAGATCGCCGATTTGTTATGATTGTGTCGGATAGTATCAGCCGCACGGATCAATTCGACAAGATGCGTCGACACTGTGTCTAGCCACTGTTGGAACATTTATCGGGAGGGGCTGACCCCGGTGGTGTACAAATACAAACGATGTCCGCAAAGTGCCCTGCCCAAAAAAAAATCCCAATTGCACCCCCTCGCCCAATAGCAGAAGTTTACGGGCAGTATCCGTTTCGAGAGAGTCCCCCGCGCCGGCTACTGTGCTGAGTCATCATGACAGCGGGGATGAACATGCGGACAGCGACGAAGCAGTTGCAGCCTTCTGGTTTTCGCCACATATTTTCGGACGGCGTCGCGAGGGCGGTTCGTCCAGACCCAAATGACCTTTCGCGTTTTTCGCGAAGCCGCGAAGGACACGAGCGTAATGGAAATCTACGGAACACCGCAAACGGGAAACGCCTCGATGACTCAGCATAGCATGACCCCTTGGCAACTGACTGAACTAGAGCCCTATTCGGTCGAAACAACTGCCACTTATCGAAACCGCACAAATTGTGAGCAGATGTCATGTTCGTGACCTATTGTTTGAGCTAATTAAACAGTACTCGGGGCTGTTTCTGATCGTCGCAGTGCAAAACAGCGTAACCGTGGTTACATACGCAATCTGAACTCTGCCACCCAACCTTCCCCTATTGCGACAAAAAAAGTTACCAACGAGCTCACCCTGAATCCCTCGCTTCTAGCAGCGAAAGCCGGCGAAATACCAAATCGACAGAAGCCCCCGCGGCTCGAAAAAGTGGCGTTTCTCTCTCGGGCTCAGGCTGTACATGGAAATTTGTACCTGGGGTTATCGACCCTCCCAAAGGTATTCGTGACGCGCACCGACAGGGATGCGCGGACTGTACCCTCCAGAAGGAATTCAAAACGCGAAGTAGCGGGTTTTCGTCTTCTCCTCTCACAGAAGCCATCCACATAATGCGATGCAACAATGATCCTCCCTCCCAACGATTCCACCAGAGAGTATTTTCTGAAGTACGCCGCAGACCACGTCTGCTTACGCGTTGCGAGTCGCGCGAGTATTATAGCAGCTCCCGAGAAAGTAAGTCAGTCGCGCCTTGACCACAGCCTCTATCCGAATGGATGAATACAACATACGAGCCCAACTCAGTCGAACTGGCCTTCGGCTATGTGCCTTTCCCTTTGCCATAAAAGAGGCTCTGTTGAGACATCCTGGTATAGTACTAGCATCTAAGGCCAGCCGAGCTCGCTTCTGCACTGCCATTGACGCCACTCCGGCTTCTTCCAACCCAATTTCTCCATTTCGTATGTTGTTTCACCATCATGCCCGGCCCTGCAACCGGCCACGCCGCGGCGGCCCAGCACCAGCAGCGGCCTCCCGCTCCCAGACCCGACTCCCACGTTACCTTCGACGACGGTGACGACGCTGACGACACATCCGTGGACGACACCGCCTTTTCCGACGACGAGTTTGACGACGACGCGTTTTCCACGGCGTCGTCGTCCGAGGACCTGGCGATCGACATCGAGGCGCTTGGGAAATCCGTGCCTCCTGTCGGCGCCGGGGCGACGCCCGCCGTCCCCATTTCCGTGCTGACTTTCCGCAACATCGCGTATTCCGTGCTCGTCAAGCAGCGCAAGGGGGATCCTCCCGCTGGAGGCCAGTTCCCGCGGATGGACAGCACACTCGCGAGTATCCCCGGACTGCCGCAGCGGAGCTTTCATGCGCCTGCTGCCGAGGCGCAAGCCACTGCGTCGGGCGGCGGAACCAGCGCCGCACCAGGCGGCGGAGGGATCGGCGGGATGCGCCAGAAACGCGTTCGGCGGCGGATCCTAACGGGCGTGACCGGCGAGGCGCGGTCGGGGGAGGTGACCGCGATCATGGGCGCAAGCGGCGGCGGAAAGACGACGCTGCTGAACATCCTGGCGCAGCGGATCTCGTCGGGGCGGCGGAAGGGGACGGTGGAGCTGGACGCGGGGGAAGGCGCGGTCGCAGTGAGCGGGGGGATGATGCGGCGCGTTTCCGCGTACGTGATGCAGGACGATATTCTCTATACGTCGCTCACGGTGCGCGAAACGCTCATGTACGCCGCGGAGCTTCGCCTGGGACCACAGCTTTCGCGGAGGGCGAAGGAGGATAAGGTCGCGCGGCTGATCGATCTGCTTGGGCTCGCGAAAGTGGCGGAGACGCTGATTGGCGGCGAAAGGAAGAGGTGAGCGTGAAACCTTTTTTTTTCTATGGCCGATAGCGTTTGGGAAGAGGCGAGCTTGTAACTTATATTATTAGGGGGCCTATCGCGATTGGGCAGAGGCGAGCGCCAAACGCGGCAGACGCTGGAACTGCTTTCCCACTAACCTGCAAGGTCGTGTGCCATGTCCCTGGAAGCCTAGCAGGTAAATCTGACATGCTGGTCAGAATCTGAAATCCTGAACCCGAAACTTGAAATAGGGACACCCAGCCCTGCTCACAAACAAGTAGTAAACTGCGTGTATCTCACTATATTTCTCTTCCCCAACGTTACTCTGTGATTTTTCGCAGAGGCGTTTCTGGCGGCGAGCGAAAGCGAGTGGCGATAGGGGTGGAGATGGTGAGCGACCCCAAGATCCTGTATCTCGACGAGCCTACCTCGGGGCTGGATTCCACAAACGCGTTTCGTGTTGTACGCGCTATTAAGTCCGTCGCGGTTCAGACTGCGAGCATCTCCGTGATGGTGGTTCACCAGGTAAGCTCACAACCTATATAAATTCCGTCTTTTATTCTCCCATTCATCTTCAACCAGAAACAAATTTAGGACTTCACGCACGTTTGAACTTAACGCCTCATCCCTCCCCCCTCTTTCCTTCCTCCCTTCCCACTCTTCGTTTTCTCTATTTATTTGTTTTGTTCGTCAGCCATCATATCGAGTCCTTGGCCTCATCGACAAGCTTCTTTTGCTGGGTGTGGGCCAGACGGCTTATCTGGGCCCACCTGCCGGCCTTCCGGATTTCCTCTCGTCTCTCGGCAGCCCGGTGCCAGAGGGATCCAACAGCACAGAGCATGGCTTGGACGTCATGGCAGTGCTACAGGCCCAGGGTGTCACGGACATCCAAGCCTATGCCCAAGCCTGCAAAGCCGGTGCAGGCAACCATGTACTGGCGGCTCGGAAGGCGCTGGAGGTTAAGAGCGATGCAGTTACCCCAAAGTCTTCCATGGGGAAGCTGGTTTGGAGGCAACCCAGCAAAGGGCAGCCGGACGACGAGCCGCAGAAGACAGTGAGGAAGGAGAAAGACCGCCCAGAGTTTGCTAACGGATGGTTCTGGGAGCTGTGGTTGCTGACGAAGAGAGCTACAGTGAACGTCATGCGCACACCTGCACAGTACCTTCTGAGGCTGGTGCTCATCCTTGTAACGGGGCTGCTTCTAGCGATCCTCTTCTGGAGACCAAAGGAAACGTAAGGGGACCAGCCAACGTGGCTGGGGTCTCATGCTAGGTCGGGGAATGGATGGTCAGGTCTGGTGCTAGGTTGGAGAGTGGATGGTGAGGTGTGGTTCTAGGCTGGTTATATTTAGTGGTCTAGTGTGGTGCCAGGGTTTGGAAGATCCGGTCCGGTCCGGCAATGGACAGGCGAGTGGTTGGATAATAGAGAAGGAACAAGGACGTGGGAGGGAATATTTGAAGGTGCTTTCTAGTCGCTCTTGAGTTTGCTCAAAAGCGAACAAGGAGCTGAGAGTGACTATAATAATGTGCTTTCCTCCTCTTCCTGGTTTCCTCCTCTTCCTGCTTTCCTCCTCTTCCTGCTTTCCTTCTCTTCCTGCTTTCCTCCTCTTCCTGCTTTGAGTTCCCCTGCCAGCTGAATGCAGGCTTGAGGAAGGGCTGATTCGGCTGTCATGTCTTGTGAAAGCCTCTTCTTCTTTCCTTCACTATGCACTTTTTGTTTCCTCCCCCCTTCCCCCCTTTCCCCCTTCCCCCCATTCATCCCGTCCCCCCACTTTCCCCCCGTTCCCCCCGTCCCCCCACTTTCCCCCCGTTCCCCCCGTCCCCCCACTTTCCCCCCGTTCCCCCCGTCCCCCCACTTTCCCCCCGTTCCCCCCGTCCCCCCACTTTCCCCCCGTTCCCCCCGCTCCCCCACTTTCCCGCGTTCATGCGATGAGGGAATGCAGGCCCGAGGGAGTCTTGATTCGGATGTCCTTCCTCTCTTGCGCCGCCTGCATTGTCTTCTACAGCTCCTGTGATGCCGTGCCGATTTTCATCGAGGTGTGCTACACACTATGCTCTTTGAGGTGCGTTTCGCTCTTTGAGGTGTATTGCGCTCTTTGAGATGTTGTGCACTCTTTGAGATGTTGTGCACTCTTTGAGGTGTGCTTTGCTCTTTGAGGAGCGTTTCACTCTTTGAGGTGTGTTGCGCTCTTTGAGGTTTGTCAGATTCGTTAGGGTGTGTTACATTGCGTGTTTACATTCATTTAAAGGGGGTTTCTATATGAATTACACGCATTCAGCTGCATAATCCTCATCTTCCGACCACCACTCACCCTTCCCACAGGAATGTGCAATATTCAAACGCGAATCAGCAAATAATGCGTACAGGCCTTCAACGTATCTCGTGGCATTAATCCTAGTGTACCTACCGTTACAGTTCGGCATTACTTCTCACGACCGTTTACTTCTCACGGCCGTTTACTTCTCGTGGCGTTACTTCTCACGGCCGTTTCCTGGTGGAGCATCAGCCTGGCGGGCGGCACGGAGGGGTTTCTGTTCATGGTGGTGGCGTGTTTTGTCATGTTCTTTGTCGCCAAGGGCATGGCGACATGCATCAGCGTCTGTGTCAAGGAGTGAGTGACCAGTGACCATCCATCCTAGTGCTTCATATGGATTCAAGTTCTTCCTCTCCTTCATGCCCTTGCGCATTCTTCTCCCCCCTTGCATGCTTTCTCCAAGTCCCCTTCATAGTTCACCTTTTCCTGCCCAGAAGCGGTTTTTTTCTTAACTTCTTTCTTTCTTTGCAGCACAGGCACCTCTCTCCATCGCCCTCCTCCCTCTGTGCTTCCATATTTCCCAATACCATTTCCTTCCCCCTCCCTTGCTCTGCAGTCCTGGCATATACACTTGCCATCTCTCTCATATCAACTTGCTGCCTGCATGGATCCCTCATGTTCCCTCAATCCTTCCCTCCTTCTCCATCCCCTCCCCCCCCCCCATCTTGCCTCCCTCCTTCCTTCCCCCTTCCCTCTGTCACAGTATTGTCCTCGGATATGCGCTTGCCATCTCCATTATGTCCTACTGCTTCCTCGTTAGCGGCTTCTATGTCACAAGGACACAAATACCCAGTGTGCTCATTTGGTTACACTACTTATCGCCCTTCAAATACGCTTATGAAGCTCTCGCGATCAACCAATTCGCAAGGTGAGATGCGGGCATACATGGTTGTGAGTCGACTCAGAAGTTTGTTTGAGAGGCCCTCGCTAGTATGCAGGCATATGATGTTTGTCGACTCAAACCAGTTTCTGAGGAGAGTTGTAGGCGTGTATGCAGGCATTCGATGTTTATCGAATCGCATGCTTCTGTGAATGCACATTTGTCATTCTCATTACAATTGAATCACCTTACGCTCGTTGCCTCAATCCATCTATTCTCCTCCTGCCTCGAGCGCTGCTCCATGAACGAACGCCAAGGGCACCTTGTACCGCATCCATCCTCCCCGTCCCAGCACCATCAACCTCCTACCATTCCCCTCCCCTTACCGTCTCTCTCAACCCTTCCATTCCCCTCCCCTTACCGTCTCTCTCAACCCTTCCATTCCCCTCACCTTACCGTCTCTCTCAACACTTCCATTCCCCTCACCTTACCGTCTCTCTCAACCCTTCCATTCCCCTCACCTTACCGTCTCTCTCAACCCTTCCATTCCCTTCCAGGCTCGAGCCGTGCTACCTGAACGTCAAGGACATCACGGCGTACCTTCCCAGCACCATCCCCAGCTTGCCGGATTCAGGGAGATTGCCACGAATCGTAACCGCCCATTCCTTCAACACCACTCAGGTCCTGGAGCACCTATACGACCAGCTCCTCTCCAAACTCATTGCTACCCCTCTTCCCGAGTCATTCCTAAACGGAATTTCCCCAGAATTGAGAGAGCAGGTGGAGGAGGGTGGGCTGGGTTCGGGGGGGTGTATGCTGAATGGGATCCAGCTGCTGATGTGGCGGTCGGTTGACCAGCTGGGGAAGTGGGAGTGCTTGGCTGTGCTGCTGGTGTTTGGGCTTGCTGTGTATCTGCTCACGTATGTGATGCTGGTGAGGCTTCAGAGGTCCAAGCACAAGTGAGGGGGATCAGAAGGCATCGGGGTGAAAGAATTAAGTGTGCTGCTGGCCAGGCTTCAGAGGTCCAATCACAAGTGTGGAGGATCAGGAGGCAAGGGGTTTGAACGAATAAGGTAGAGATCAGCAGAAATAATAGAGGGGTGTTCATGCTCGCTGCTGGTGAGGTGTAAAAGAGTGCAGAAAAGGTGGCGGGATTGAGGGGATGGGGTGAGGGGATGGGGTGAGGGGATGGGGTGCTTTGAAAAAATTGGGATAAAATTGAGATACGTACGATAGCTTCTCGCTTTTGGGCTGCTTTGATGGGCTTGCAAGCGTTTTGGCTTGTTGCATTTTGGCCAGGATGTGCTGTTGTAATGCGCAATATTCAATAAAAGTATTGGCAGGAATGCTGAAAAGCTTCGTTTGCATGAAGTTTGCTAAAATATCGTGAAGTCGTTTGGAGGCTTGATATCACCTAAATAGTACCGTGGTACCGTAATCTCCCGGCCGGCAATAGGACCCTATGGACTTAATAAAAATACAAGGAAAGGTGTTGGGCAGGCATTACCGTGGATGTTAGCGGCCGTCAAGGAGATATCGTAGGCAGAGATTCAGCCATGGTGGCCCGTGCTGTTAGCAGCCTCTCAGTTTTACGAACCCATTGTCCTCCCCACGGTAGTCAGTTTCTTCTCCGTCTGTTTCCGTCGATTCCTCCAGCACCACCTCCGCCGCCAGCACTGCCTGCGTCTCCCGTGCCTCCTGCACCTCCTGCCCCACCTGTTCCTCACGCACCTCCCTTTCAATCATCTCCGATTGCTATTCGTCCTGAGGAGTGGGACAACGACTGGCAGGACGATGATCAGCTACACTGGGAAGATGCTGCTGACGGAGAGCCACAGCCAACCCCGACACTTCCTCGTGTCGTAGTTCCATCTTTCCCTCAACCCAGCCGTCGCCCCCACATGCCGCGAGTTGACCAGGATGCTGCACCTCCCTCCCCTAGAATTCGCAGGACCAAGCGCAAGAGAGTCGTGCGCACGGGGGTGAAAAAGCTATACTCGTTGGGCCATCTCGACTCCGACCCGAAGCTTTTGAATCGCAAGCTGGCGAGGATGACCGAGGCCCAACCCTGTCAGATTCGGGAGTGGACGAAGAGCAAGGCACGGCTGGCAGCGCTGGCGAGATGCAGGCGTGGTCTCATCGGTGCTGGACGCAAGGCGAAGTTCCCTGACATGGAGAAGGAGATGTACAACCGCTTCCTCTCACACCGTGCATGCAGCTTGGCGGTGTCGGCAGCTCTTTGCAAAAGTGGAGTAAGAAGTTCATGCGGAAGCGCCATCCCGGTGTCGACTGGCGTGCGTCATCCTGTTGGACTTTCCGATTCTGCACGCATTGGGGATTGACACGGCGCGTCAAGACAAAGATGGGCCAGCGCCTAACCAGCGGTGTGTTATGCTGTTGATATGCAAGCTCTGGAGCTATTTTGCTGGCGGTTTCCCATTAATTATGCTCTAAGAACCGAAGCATGTACACTCACCTCGTATGCTGACTCCTTTGCAGATTGTGAGGCAAACGTGGAGAAGTTCTGGGAGTTCGTGCGCCAATGCGCACACTGAACAAGTATGCTGACAACTTGATCATCAACACCGATCAGACTCCCTTGTTCCAAGAAATGCCCCAAGAGACTACACCGGAAGTCCAGGGTTCAAGGACGGTGCATGTTCGCACAGTTGGTTATGAAAAGGAGTGGTTCACTGTCATGCTGGCAGTCACTGCTGGCGGGCAGAAGCTGAAGCCATATGTAATCTTTAAGTGCAAGATGCTCTCGAAGGTTCGAGTCCCACCAGGTCAGTAACAACTGGGTCTTGGTGTGTCTCATTGTTACATGTACTGTACTTAAAAGCTAACACTACTCTGTCTGTTCATTTCATTTTTGCATGCGGGAATCGTCATCCGAGCACAGGAGAAGGGATGGATGGATGAGAACCACGTGGACTGGATTACGACGGTCCTCATCCCCTTTTTGAAGCGAATTTCTACGCGTTGTGGCTGGTGGCAGAAGGCTCTCATTGTGCTCGACTCCTACAAAGGCCATCTGATCGAGGGGGTGGCGGCGTTGATGCGTCTCTTCAAACTCTCGCGGGTTGTGATTCCTTGCGGATGCACGCCGATCATCCAACCTCTCGATGTAGCTGTGAACCGATGCTTGAAGGCTCATGTCCGCCGGTCCTACTCAGGTTGGTTTGAGGAGTTTGGCTGTGACTCGACAACTCCCGCTGGTAAAACCCTTCCCATTCTTGAGCTCTGCTTCCCAAACGTCCAATACTGAGTTTGCGGTGGCATGGGCTGCAGTCCCCATTTTCCCTCTGCGGACGCCCCACTCCTGCAACATACGCCCCGCATTTCTGTTACTGTATTAGGGAATCGTCACACCCACATGCGATGTGACGCGTCTGAATACCTTCATAGAATCCAGCGCCTGCACACCCTTTCATGCACGTACGACGAAATTCCTGGTGCACCCTTGACATTGCCAAACAAGAATTCGCGTTTGTGACAAAGGAAACCTCTGATGCAATGCGTTCGCCGTATACCCACCCTTCCCGCGTCCACATTGCAAGGCTTCACCGCTGCTTGCCCCCTCACTCGTATTGCCACACCCACATTGCCATCCAACGCGCATTACTCTTCCTCCAATTTACCGTCTTCCCACATTGCCCCTCCCCTCGCGTTGCCCTTCTCCCTGTATTTCCCCTCTCCTAGCGCTACCCCTTCCATGCATCTCCCCTCTGTCAGCGTTGTCCACCTCCCCCGCAGAGCTCGTCTCAGCCCTCATGTAAATGACTCCGTGCACTTCGTCTCCAACAATGTTCCCGCATTGCCCCTCACACGGTCGCATCTATTGACCTTCCTCATATCCTGAACCCTCGTTGCTCCACCTTGCCCTACTTTTCCTTTTCCCTCTCCCCGAGGGCCCTCCTCCTCCTCTTATCATTCTTCATTCCTCGTCCCTGTCTTGGCCAGCCAACCAATGCACAGTCCTGCGTGGGGCTATAGTTGTGTCCAACCTGGAGATGCTGGTGATGCACAAAAACTCCCCTTCTCCCACAACCCCTCTCATTCCCCCCCAGCTCTCCTCCACCCACTCTCTTCTCATGCACTTGCACTGCGCGCAGGCGACCTTTGCTGTGGGGAGATGGCACTGTGCAGAGGTAAATGGGGAGTCTTGGGCTTGTTTCACCTTTCCCTCTTCCCTCCTCTTCGTTCCCTTCTCTAGCCACCACCTGTGTCCTGTGGGCATGCCTCTCCCCTGGAGCATGACAGAAGGCACTGTGTGGATATAAAGGGGGGTGAGAAGGAGAGAGGGGAGAGGTAGGAGACACTGCTATGGGGGATGGCGGAAGAGGGGGCAGAGGTGGCGGAAGAGGGGGGGGAGGGGAGGAGGAGGTGGGCAGAGACGGGGAGGAGAGGGGAGTGGGGAGGGAGGGAGGGGATGTGCCGACAGGGAGTCACATGTATCGACGTATTGATTGGGGTTCCTTGAGAGGTAAGTGAGTGGGGTGGAGAGGAGACATGCAAAGTTCTTGGGTAGTTAAAACTGACCCCTGCTTGATTAGATCAAACCGACCCCTGCTTGGGCAGAGGGGGCAGAGGTTGTGGAGTTAGGGAAAGTGACAGGTGGGGGAGGGGAGGAGAGGGGAAGAGAAGGGGAGGGAGAGAGGAGTGGAGAGGAAGCTGCTGGAAGGAGGAGACCTCAAGATACGAGCGAACAAAGACTTTCATGGCCGAGACTCCGCTGGGGGAGCGAGGGGAGGTGGAGGAGAGAGGATAAGTAGAGAGAAGCGTGCAGGGAGTTATGGGAAGGAGGCATGGAGAACATAGGCAGTGGAGCATACTGGAAGTAAACACAGGGAGGCGCATAGAAGTGAAGAAATGCACAAAGACAGAAAGTGTGTGGGTAGAAAAGGGGAATAAGAGAGATGGGAGAGGGAAGACAGGGTTAAAGCCCGAGTCCCAAATTGCGTGCCGCAAGGTTTAAGTTTTAAAAACTTGAAACCCCAAGTTTTGTGGGTGTCTTTTTCACAAAACTGGGGTTACGCAGCTCACGAAGGCAGCAGAGTGGTTCTAATCTTGACTGGGGAGGTTTGGGTAGGTTGGCCTACGGGAACTTGGAAACTGGGTCATTGCAATTCGGGACTCTTGCAACTCAGCCGAGCTCCTGCCCCCCGTGCATTGCGGACTCAAAAAAAAAAAAAAAAAAAAAAAACACGAAACCAAACCTCTTGTTACTCCACACCCAGCACCTAGGCCTTGTCATGTTTCTAAAGCATGAACGTTTTGGGCCACGGGCTTCAAGGGGAGAAATGAAGGAATTGGGGAATGGTCGTTTTGAGGTTGGGGCTTGTGGCATCAATATGCCTCAAGGAATATGATGTGTGCCATTTGGCAGCAAGCAAAAATAATTGTATTACCCCTCTGCATAATTTCCTCCTTATTCCTGCCCATCCCTCTCCCCTTATCACCACAGCTTACAGAATCCCATGATCATTAGTCTCTGCCCCTCTTCTTAACCTTCAATTACACCCAGAATTTTCTGTTCTTTCGTATCTGCCATTTGTCCCCATAGCTCTTGGTGTAAGGCTTTCTTAGTCCACTCTCTCCCCTTCCCTCTCTACCATTCTCATTTGCTAATGCCCTCTTATCTTCTGCCGTATCTGATTTTCATCATCCTTTACTTTTATTGACAATGTTCAATCCATTTTACCAAATCACATAACATATCCCTACCACATGCCGTGAGTCAAGGATGCAATGTGATGCGAGCATGCAATGTGGGCATGTAACGTGAGGATGGGATGTGTGGATTTGATGTGACTATGTTTATGATATGACATTATAACAGAAACATATGAATTGAATGTGACATGTTACCATAGAATGTACACGTGATGGGAGAATAAGATGTTAGCATGCGACATAACCGTTTGATATGAACAAGTCATGTTACATGATCACGTTACATGGTCCCTTCATAAATTGCATCTCATTGTTATATACTCACATCACGTTTCCTCATGATCTCCGCACATCCCTCACATCACATGCTCACATTACATATGGACATTCACGTCACAAACATCCATTCCATACTCAATTTCATTTTCACATCATACCCTCACATCACACCCTCACATGCCTGCTTTTAACATTACCCAATCATGTTTTGGCATTACTATATCAAATTATCATGTCATATGCTCGGATTATCTTTCCACACCACACACTCTCACCACATAGCACATCACATGTTCACAACACATTGTTATTTCAAGTTGCTCACACCATATTCTCTCATCCTATACTCATAACTCATCCTCATATTCCCTATGCCCCGTATCATATGTCT